TCTCTAGGATATCTAATAGCTTTATTACTTTGAATGTCGGTAATTTCGATACTTTAAATAGATCATATATATCATACTTATCAAACCCGAGGCAATAATTTATATAATTGCCGGGACTCTACTCGTATAAAATTGATACTATAGCAATAATAAAAAGTATCATCTTAGCCAGGCTCTCCGGTGGAAATAATATGCAATACGTATTCTTTTCACAAAATGTAATAGTTTTATGATGCTAATTTATTATTTACTTAAAATAACCCCTCTTATATACCATATCATATCACAGTAATAAATACTCTATATATAAGCATTTATACCTCAAATAGAATAATCATAATCCATCTACAACGTTGAAAGTGTATTTGCTTTATTTTGTTATAAACAATGTAATAAGTTTAATAAAATAACAAAGTATTCATAAAATCCGTTAAAATTAAAATAAAATATTCATAAAATTTAGTAAGCAATTCCTACGAAAGTACTTACCCCATTAGAAACTTGGCGTGAAGATAATAAATTAATAAATACATGTAAGTAACTAGCGGCGTCTATGAAGGTATTAAGGCAACTAATATTCTACAAGCTGCCATCTATTAAGTAATAGTGCCAATGAAACTACTATCACCTATTGAAGCTAGTTTTGCTATTCACCGCTAGATGACACTAGTATGAACTAGCTCATTTAGCATGTCAAAAACAAGTGTTTAATCGTTGTTAACTGCATAAAACGATCAATACATTGATATTATAAACTAATAAAAAAAAGAAAAATCATGCAACTGACCTTCCATAACATACACAATACTGCCGACATCTCCTTCTTTGATGATAATACTCCCTGCCGCGTATTCTACTGGATACATGCAATCCACTATTTCCCGGATCTGAGTCATTTCCAGATTCTTCATGAAGTCATTGTCTAAAATCGCACCCTTGATCAGTTCCCGTGATCTGAAAGTGAAATACAAAGTAAATTAGTTCCTGTAAACATCAACTCAAATTTTTTATCTATGTCTAGTAACCAAAAAGACGGTTTAATTTGAAAGAAAGAAATTTGTTAAAAGGCTTTAAAATGCGGTGTTTCTTTGGAATTTGGGATATTGTGAGATATTTTAAACTGTCTATAAGTTCATGTCTATTAAATTAAGCAACGAGTATTAAGTACATTTCATTAAATTAATGGCCAGCTTATTTGTCATTATAGCGAATTGTATGAAAAAATCTGCAATTCTCTCCCTTATTTTATGTTCCACCTTACTTTCATACAAATAGACAATATTAATCCTTTTTCAACATTGATCTTTTATGTCTTATTCCATAACACCCTCTTTCTTTACAATCATTGTACACAATTTTACACAAAGTTGTAACTTGCAAAAAGAAATCTATAAATAGCACTCGATAAGTTGTGTAATTGTCTGATAAATGACAAGTTAGGGTTCCGTATTGATTAACTAATACTGCATTTTTATAATAAAGGGAAATTGTTGCTGCTTCGCATATAGTCATGAGCATCACGTATATAAAACATTAGCATCTGTTTGTATTTCAGATTATTATGTGCTATATGATCGCTTTGAATCCTTTCATGATTCAGACATGACATCCTTTTAAAGGCAGTTCCGTTTGCGCGCGTCGACGGACAACTAATCCTTGTATGTTGTATTACGTAAATACAATTGAATGTCATTTTAAAATTATATCTAATACATGATCGAACTAAGAATATTAATTTATTACTTGAGTTTTGACGTAATTTAATTAAAGTCAAAATGAAACATTTTTCATTTGGCGTTTTCCAAGATATAGTAGATACATTAATTTATACTTTTTAAATTGAACCTGAAGTGTTTTGTTATGTAACACGAATGGCAAAGTTAATGGTCCGATAGGTGTAACTCACCTAGCAACCAAAATATATCTTACTTAATAGATTTGTATTACTTTGTTAAATTCTGCTACCATTAGCGTACGTGAGACCTCAAATATTCAGTGACCACCGCTACTAGAAGCGTTACTAGTTACGACTTTTTCTATTGGTCATCAAATTCCGACTGTTATTAAATCTACACCCATATGGCGCCACGTGTTTCGCCTCTGAATGAGCCATCATCAAGTCACCTCGGTAACAGTTTGGTAGTTATTATAAGTTTGACTGTTCGGGGATCAGGCTACTACTTTACAGTATGGTCGCCGAACTATTAATACATCACTTAAACAAAATAATATAAATCCATTAAGTAACGAAACGGACTTCCTCAAAATAACACATAATTCGATAAAATAGAAACACATCTTGTAGAGCAAGCTGCTTGACGACTGAAATAGGTAAGGCAGCAGTCTGATGACTTGTACGTAGTCTACGTCGATAAAAGAAGCACTTAGTACTTGCATATTCGACTCACACTTGGCGCTTTTTAATTAGTGGCAATTAAGAAACAATTCTATTGTTGCCATTGATAAGTATTATTATGGACATGAAAAAATTACAGTGCATGAAAATCAACCTTAGCATGTAGCGCGAAGATAAATATTGCGGAGAATGTGTTTTACAAAGTAAATAAGTTAAAATACTACGAAGTCTTGTGAGATATAAATTCTCCATTTGTCAGTAAACTTCGCGAGTAAAATTAGAAATACAAAATTTTGTAAATAATATGAATAACTAGGTACCCAATTCATACTCGTATATATCCTGCTTTAATGTTGTTTTTTCATGCAATATTCTAGTTTCTAATTTCACTGTATAAATAAAAAAAATAATTCAATAAATCTACTTTCTAATTTTTTCCCGAATAATAAAAAATATCATAATCCGCATTAGGTACTAGGACACTATATGCTCTTATTATAGGAATAAAACATTTGGAAGAACTAATTAAATATACAAGTCTATAATTGTTTTAGGGTAAAGGTAAAAATTAATGTAGATTATTATAATTTAATTAGGCAGCTGTTTTTCACTTGCAATATAAACAAAAAAAAATGTTATATACTAATATTACAAGCAATATTATAAGACCGTTCTTGATTTGCGATATGCTATATAATATCATTATATTATTTACCCATTATACTTGAAACGGTTATCGATAAAGATACATTGTTAATAATTTTAAATAATGATGTAAATTGCATAAAATTATGGTTATAAAATTATATTGATGTCTATAAAGAGAAATATTGGAGTAGCAAATTTTGCAGACATAGGTATATATAAGTATTATAATCATATCTATTATTATACGTAAACGGCAACCTGGAACTTAATATTATATCTAGATGAAAAAATTCAAAATTATTATCTGCTTTTAAATCAGTACTCTTCGTTATTTTAATATATAATAAAATAACGAAGAGAACAGAATTAATATTCCTTTGTTATTTTAATATATATTTGGAACGAATTGCACCAGTTTTAAATCCTGAAATTAACAGCACGATAGTATATAGTTCACTACCATTCATTGAATGCACACGATTTTTGCATACCACAATGTAAAAATCGTGTGCACGTCACGTAAAAAACCCTACACTGCAACATTGCCACACCCACATTTTTCTTCGACGTAAGCAAAAATATTTTTATATATAAAATTAAAACGCTTTACATGTGTCATTATATTTATGTTTAGTAGAAATATGGTTGAAGGAAACCTCTGTGCCTTACCGCCGTAATATTATCATTAATTATTTATTAATTTTGCAGAACTGTATAATATTATTATACAGTGACAGTGGTATTTCATTATAATCAAGATATTTGGAAAATAAACTACAGCTTATGAACGTCTACAATTTTATCAGTAGAATTTGATACTCATTTTTGACAAGGATTAAAAAAAGGTAGAGAAAGAAATAGAGACAAAAATAAGGAACGTCTCCCTCTTAACTTCTTAAAATCTCAGGAATGCTTTCCGTCCATTCCCTGATTATCCCTAGTATTTGAAAGGTATAAACACGTTGACATCTTGTTATAATCTATTAGACCTTGTAATTTTCACACATAATTTAATGCGAACAGGAAGTACTCAGCCTACAAAATTGCGGTAACATATCTAATAGCACTGTCCCTAATGGTAATTATCAGCAAATTGCAATGTAATTCGTATATTAGAACATCAACAAAATTACTACCATAAATAACTATCAATGAATATCGTGACACAGCCGTTGGCGAGGACAATGTACATAAAGTTCGAACGTAATTATACCAAATAGGTACGACCGAAGGCACACTGGCTGACACAGGTCGACCTCGAGTACATAACTCCCTGCATAGAAGAAATTCAATCTCCACCTTGGGTGATTGATAGATAACACTACATTGTGCTGGTATTACATACATATCAACTAGTAGATATCTCACAATTTGTGAGTTACAAATTGGTCATAGACAGCTAATATACGAGTATATTGTAACAATGCATTTGAATAATATAATATATCTGCAATATTAGTATTATAAATCCTGGCTACGAAAGATAATGACACGACAACATAAACTTCAAATATGTTCTAATATTAGAGTCCAAAGCCTTATGTTGCAATATAAGACTATATATTTAATAGGCAGTATTTTAGAATGTTTCACATTTACTGCTCTTAAAACAAAGATATATAAAATTAACTACTCATAAATTTTATATCTGTCGTCACATGTTTACTAAAATACAAATATTCGGTTCAGATCCCAATTAGGTTTTACAATGTCGTTATTACAATTGATGGTACGGCAACCAATCGTATGGGGCGTACAGTAAATTCGCAACGTAATATGAACGTTGTGTTAACGAGCGCTCGTCCATAACTCATAAACTGTGTCAATTTTATTTATGCAAACCAATATTACGTATTAATTTGTAGTATTTTAATAAAGCTTTGTTTGCAGATTATTATTCGTTTGCATTTATTAGTTATTATCGTTGAAATTATGAGAGAAATATATGATATATACCAAACATGTTTCCATTATTATAGAACTTTTTAGTCTTAACTTACTTTTTACTTTTAGGTATCTTCACCAATTTGAGTTCGTGATCTTGAGTCAACGATGATAACGGTTCCGCTGATATGGCAGTTCTCTTGAGTCGTGGTTCACCAAGCGGTAACACCCTGGTATTTTCCACACCTGGCGTTTTTATAACAAAGCCTTCATCTTCTGAACCATTTCTGTGATTATCTATTATTTGTTGTGTCAAAGGTTTGACGACTTGTCTAAATTTGTCTATTTCATTTTTGAGATATCGTATTGTTGTATCTTTTTCGTCAATCTCGTTTTCCAGTAATGCTATTATTTTGTCTCTCCTCTTCAATTCCTCCGTCTTTTCCATCAACATACGTTTCATATCTAATAGTTTCTTTTCTAGTTTAAAATTATGATCTAATTTGCACGGGGTTGTATGTGTTTGTGCCATTTTTTTTCACTAAAATTTTACCGATAGTCTCATTAACTTCAATTTTTTCTGAATTTACACCATCACTTTAAATATTTGCCACATTCCATTACCAAAACGATTTTATAAGTATTAACAGTCACTATACTAATGAGTAGTATTTCAGTTAGCACATGACTCTATCTAGAGATAAATATAATATATTACAGTTGATTAAGAATAATAAAACAGATATACCAATACTTAACTGGGTTTTCTTTACTACATAGGCCAGCCAGTGTCCAGAATATTAATCATATTGAAGAAGCTATGTCATAACGATACCTACCTATTGTTTGTAACAATTGTTTCAGTCTCAAATTCATATCCATTGTTTGATTGATTACTCAGCGAATCCTTTATCCATTAATAAAAATAGTACATCACACATGTTTAGAAACAAATTCGATATTTGAAATATTCCAAGAAATTATGAAAATTATTACAATACATAATTGATTTAAAATGGCTTTGATATTTTTTGAGTTACAGAATCTAAATGTGATTTTGCAATGAATTTTATAATTATAATTAACCACATGTATTAAAAGTCGTTATGTAAGGTTAGTTAAACCACTATTTAATTACTAGTCTAAATAATATAAAACAAATTACAGATCTAATTTGCATTAGGTTGCTAAAATAAATACAGCGAGGAATGGACGAAATAAAATAACGCAATTGACAGTTAAGATGTAAGTTAATGCAGCATTAGGAAATAAGGACTTATAGTCTTTATTAAATATAGTCTATATTAAAACTAAAAAGACAGTCACATCTGTAACATTTCTTAAACTTGGGTCTTATCGCATTAATTATCTTGTCCCGTGTATCTGTTTGCCAAATGTCTTGAATAGTTATAATAACATCTGAAATTATATTTAGAGATGCATTTCTGTCAAACTCTTTATTAGCGTGACATTTATCGTACACATATTGCGTCAACAAATTAGCATTTGTATGACCGATTACATTGTGGACAATTATGAGTATGTTGTATAATATGTATATCAGCATCCACAATTAGTCGGTACGCGTGGGCGATATTGTTACGTTAAGGTCGTTCAACTAACACATGGTCCCTTTCTAAGTTACTGAAAGGTCATTAGAATTCTGTATAGTCATAATAATAAATTTCTGAAAATTTGGAATTTCTTGACACATCTAGGCACCGCACCAGAATTGAACCTGAGTCTCCGTTACCCGTCACAGTAAAAAGTATACGGGGTTCTATCAGTTCTTAAAAGCCTTTCAATTTCCTACAATTTCTTACATATATGAATAACAGGGGCTACTGAGATATCAGGTCTGATATTTGGTGTATATTTATTGAAAAATTGAATAAGAATAAGATCAAAAGTTTTGTAGTCTACACAATAAATATTTTTACTATATTTAATTGCTGAGTTGAAATCTAATCCAATAAAGCTACTATATTACAGCTGGTTCCAGCTGTAATATAGTTAGCTTTATTGCTCCGGCACGAGGCCATCTTTGATGAGACAAATTACATTTGGATTCAAATGTTTTTAACGATTATATCAAGTGACAGCATAATAAAATTATATTACATATCAATAATAACTGACAATTTCTATGGTAATATAATAATAATAATCAATAATAGGTCCAACAGAAATTGTTAGTATTTTAACAGATTTAATTTTGGATATGTTTTTTGCTAGTAGTTCTATTGTTTACTCTTCTGTATATTGTTTTATATTATGTATGTTATTTAAATGTAGAGATGTAGAATATCTTAAATGTAATGGATTAAGGGACCATATTAGGCACATTGATTGAAGTAGAAAAAGTATAATCCATCACATTTAAAATAAGTATTGTTGCTAAGTAACAGTTTGTATGTAACGTGCAACTGCAATCGGAACGAAATAAATTATATTTACTACTATATATGTAATCCACTGAATATCTCTATCAAATTTAAGCTAGTTTTGCTATTTTTATGTATTTATCAATGATAAAAGTAGCCCATAATGATGTGGCTTATTTAACACTAACGTAGATTATAATACCAATAGCAAAATTAAAACACTATATCTAATGCCTCTCGATGAAATTATTGATAAAGAAACTAAAGAGGGATTAACTCTATTCCATTTCATTGATACCCGTGAATAGTTTATAAGATAAGATAATATGAATATTATTCTAATCAGTAATTAAATTTATGATTTTGAATCATAAAAATAAACTTCAAAGCTAAGAATTTATTATAACCCCTATATAAATGAGTATTACGCCTGTACTGAACAGTATCGTTAAAATCGGACTAATATGTAGAAAAAATATTTTCTATTCAAGTCGCTAGAAAAAGTAACTTTAGGAAAGTAAATGTAAGCTTGTAAATATGCGGTAGTCATGATACATCTGAGTGAGAACGGTTTCGAACTCGACCTAGACCCGTTTTCTCTTTGATTTTGGACGTAAGCCCAAAATACAAGTGCTGTAACGTTAAGTCTTATCTATTAACAATTTTTTCCTGGGAGGGTACGTTATTATTTTTTTCATTAACCATGTTGTCATTTAGTATACATTGTGCTACTTTCTAGAGTTTTAAATACATTACTATCACAAAATATAAATATGATATTTTAAATTTTATACGGATATCAAAAACAGAACTTCTACTATAGAATTATAGTTAAATTATTTAATTACTACTTTTTAGACAATGAAAATGTTTTTATTAATGTTTTCTTAATTCATGTCTATATTACGTAAGGATTCCCTCTTGCAAATTTCTTACAATTGTGTCGAGTAAAGTACTAAAGTACAAACTATAAGAGTAATAAAATTGGTTATACATTGATAGATCAGTGAGACAGTACAAGCCGTTTAATAGATAATATGAACTCGTAGTTAATCCATGTATTATTATAATTGCCATAAACATGTTTCATCTATAATAAGCCAATAAAGATCAAGGTTTTTAATATTAATTTTTGTAACCATAAAGGTTAAAAAAATAATTGAAGTAATCTATAATCAAATAGTAGTTGATATGACACATTAATTAATGAAATTAATCAAAATAAAACGTCATCAAATAATTTTACGTTAAATCTAGACTAGATAAGTTATTATATTTTTTAGTTTCAGCGTAGGCCGCCATTTATTACTAGACCTATCGATTAAATAGATGCACAAAATTTATACATAGATTTATTTTTATTTTACCTGACCAGTTTCGCCTTTTCTGGACAATATCAATGGTTGACATAGGTATGTAATATATTTTTTACTCAGATCAATCAATTGAAAACAAAATATATATATATACATAATTATAAATGTTTTTGTAAAATACTAGCTATCCGTCCCAGCTTCGCATGGATGTTTCACGAATCTTTGAATTTCTAGGATTGTTCTAAACTATAACACGCGTAATAAACCTTCCTTTTGAATAATTAAAAGAATTTCTTTAGTGACTTATGTAAAAATCCTGTATCGTACGTAGTAGTATTAATAGAAATATAGGAAACATAATATATGAAATAAATGTTTATTATGAAATGAACCCTAATACATTTGCACTTGGCATTAAAATGAATGATCTTGAAATGTTTATTGACATAGATATGGTGTATGTAGACGATGTGACAGGAATCTCTAGACACCATTTAAATATTGCATACATTTATAAAGCTTGTCTCTACTGCAATATAGATATTAAATTAAAATATAAAAAAATATAAAATAATATCTAAATATCTAATAATCAATATATAAAATATTGATGATTTAGTTTGTCTCTACGCAATACAGGTATTTAAAAAATCACGAATATTTTAGTTATAAATATGTAATTGGTTGAGCTATTGTATATTATTGGATCATTTCTCTTATCATTTTTCATAGGTTAAATGTAAATGAGCATTTTAATTAAAAAAAATTAAGTATTATCCTCAAGTGAATAACATGATATTCGATTTGAATAAATTTATTTAAATATTAGATGTAATGTTGAGTAACTGATTATAGGTTACTTGCATATATTTACTTCGGTGACACTTTCACACGTTATGCTTTATAAAACTGCAAAAAAGGCATTTAACTCGTCTGTATATATCGAATCAATTCTAAAAATATGAGTCGTTAGATTTTTTGTTTTTTAAACCAAATCTATTCACTGGCAAAATATGTTTCTTTTGCAATGGGATAATAATGTGGTTGAAAATACAAAGCTATTTATTATTCTTACTTATTTTTTTGTACTTTTACATTCAGAACTTTTATTCTGATCTGGAACTGAAATCACTGAAGAAATTGTTTTAATGGAAAAATAACTTGAAAATCTTCACTTCAAATGAACTATTATACAACGTAATAACGTAACGGTATTTATTATTATCTAAAAGCTGGATAATCTCCATCATATCATGCTGACGTCACCTGTTCATTTAAGCCAGTTTCAGGCCACGTTGACAGACTACAGACTAATGCTATTTATGGGGTTTGACGTTATCGCGACTTGAAACAACAAAAACCATTAGGGAAAACGGCCGGTGGAGTGCCGGTTCTTGTATAATATTTTTCTATTCACAATTACTATTATCTAAAAAGGTAACAGATTTCATTAGTCCAGTAGTAAAAACTCTTATAAACAGAGTGCAGATTCTATATTCGTACCTTTATAAATATCCATGTGCAAAAATGATTTCAAATATTTTAGAGAGATAGATAGATTATGTTATTTGTTCAAACTATTGTAGATATTGGTGATAGATGCCTAGAATCTAGAGATAAAACTGAGATTTCGTGGTTGTCTTAAAATATTCTAAGCCAAAAAAGCTAAAGTTAAATCAAAAGTTATGATCAAAGTTATGCAGAGTATTACTAACTTTGCGTATCTATCTCGAACAGCCAATGCCCTGCTCGAGATAGAAACGCAAGGGCAATCTTTAGATAGAAAATCATAAATGTAAAAGAAAAGAAAAAATCGAGTATTCTTATGTAGA